ACTTCTAAGACTTTAAAGTGTGAGTATCTGCTGTTTTTAGGAATAGCAAGAAAGTCTGAGTGACTGGAAGGGAGTAGGTGGTAGGAACAGTGGGAACCAAGTACCTACGGCTTGGTGACCTTGGTAGAGACTAGCTCTTCCTCCAGAAAAATGGAGCACTACTATGGAGTTTTGAGCAGAGAAGTGATGTGATCTGGTTTGCCTTTAATGGATCCTTCAGGATGCTGTGTTAGGGAGGTTCCAGGATAGACTGGGTAGACCAGTAAGAAGGCTGTTGCAGGTGAGATTCTGATCAGTGGAGGCAGCAGAGGTGGTGAGAAGTGGCTGCACTCTGGATATATTTGGTATGATACAGCCAACTAGAATACATGGCCTATTGAATGTGGGAAGTAAAGCAAGAATCAAAGATGACTCCAAGAGTTTTGTTCAAACAAATAGAGAGATAGGCGCTCTTGTTACCTGAACTGGGGCAGAATGTGGGAGGAATGAGTTGAGAGAGGAGACAAGAGGAAGAGTTGAGTTTTGGATGGGTTGTAGTCAAAGAAAAGCACACTGATATTTAAAATCCCAGAAATAGAACCATTTAAAATGATCATAAGACCCAAGGTATACAACCATGAGATGCATGTCTGGAGGGGAATAAAGGGAAGTCATTATGATTTTAAAATGTAGAACTCTGAAGGTTGCAAAGTCAGTGAAATCTGCTGGCATAGTTTCTTAAGGTGGTGGCCCCGGGAGAACAGGAAGGAGCAGGGCAGGCCTAATGATCAAATTTAAATACAAATGTTAAGAAGTCACAATATTATTAGTTTCAGATCTGCAGAATTTGAATTATGTAAAGACTGACCCAGACATCAGATACAGGCACAGCAGCAGAACACTGAGATTTTCAGAAACGTATCAGCTAACATTAAGGATGTTTATTGTTGGCTCCATAGCTAGCCTCCTTTACCCTAGAATGTAAATTTCCTAAGAACAGGAGTCTAGGCTGTCTTATCCACGCATGTGTCTGTGAAGTTTAGAATTATCCCCAGCTGATACTCAATAAACATGTGTTCAATTACAGATGTTTGGAGTTTTATAGAATTGCAAGTATTATGTGTGATATTGTCTCCTATTAAAACTGCAGAATCATAGCGGTACCTCCCAGAAAGAGTATAATTTTCATCACTGTGTAGTATGTATTCATTTGTTTTGCATAAGAAATATATTTATGTTATAGTTTCTACTTTTTGTATGGTGTGTTGGAATGCATTATTTGGGGGTTTTGGTAGCAGAAACATCATAACCCGGAAGGTAGTCCTGATAGTAATGCTGCCTCTCTGCACATTCACTGGCTGTCCTTGTCACCAGGGCAGTGAAGCCATTGTGTCAGATTCTTGGAGGGCACCTCCATCACTGTAGGGAGTTAATGCTCCCTACATATGGACTACAGTGTCAGAGAAAAGGAAATTCTAAGCCAACTGTTGAATGCCCATGAAGTTGTTAATTTTAAAAAGAAAAGGCTGCTTGGAATTTTACATGAGATAGATTTATAATCCAGTTGTTGCATAGATCAAAGACAGTGGGATTAAAAAAATTTATCAATTCTTATTTAAATCTTATGTTACTAAGAAGCTTTTTAGAAAGGTTCACGTTTGATTTCAGATACTGTACTTTAATGCCCAGTGTTCCTTTTATATCTACTCACACCTGTAGCATTTTAGAAAGCATGTCATGTGACATCTTAGGAAAGCTTTCTAACAGTCATGGCACTCCAAGAAATATGGCCCAAACTCAGAGCATGTTTCCAAACTCAGTAACTCCAAATGTGATAGATCTCCAAGCTCAGGAATCACTATTTGGTAAAGACCTTTAAAACATGTCTGTAAGCTGTTGAATGTCAGATAAGCATAAAAATGTATTAAAGACTTGAAATGATAATTCAGGAATATACAAGTTCAGTAGATATAGACAAATGTCTGTATCTATTGAGATGTTGCTTGAATCAAGAAATATTTTAAATAGTTCCAATCAAGTGAAAAAGAAGAGATGAGATAATATATTATTATTTAATGTAATAATAGTATAATTATATTATAATAATGGTATAATTATAATAGTATAATTCTATTATACTATTACAATTATGTTATAATATTAATAATATAGGGTAACATGTAGAATATAAGAATATTATGTTATAGAATATAAGTTCTATTTTTTAAAACTCGTCTTGTTTCAGTCTCCCAGGCTGGTTTTTAACTTTTCATAAAATAGTCTGGTTTCTCTTTAGGTCATATAAATCTTTCACCTTTTCTTAACTTTTCATAAACACATATAAGTAATATAGATGACAATGGATATTTATAATTAAGTATATAATATTTAAATCTTCTGGTTTTGTGGAAATTATGTGTAGCTAAATTAAAATATTCAGTTATGTAGGCTTCAGATTTCAGTTCAATAGAAAAATATAAATGACATTGGGGGTTGAATTCCTACCAAAGTAAGAAGTGCATTGCCCAGACATAAATAATTTACCTGCTGATTGGAGATGATTCCCTTAAGAGGCATTCCAGTGTTCACTTGGCCCAATAAAATAGGGAAATCGTCAATTCATATTTTCTTTCCCGAGGAAAACTTTCAATGAAATTGTTCAGGAGAAAAACATCAAGACATCCGTGTGTAACTCCATAGCAAGTGTATTTGAACGGTGCATTTACAAGAGCATCTGAGGCGCGAGGGCGAGTGACTGTGCCATCCGAACTAACTGAATGGGGTCCCTCAGCTAAATCACAAGGGGCAAGAATTCTAAGTTAGGATTTCATACCATGCTTCATCACTGAAAGGAGACCATGGGACTGGGGTTTGATCCCCGGGCCTGCCCTGCTGGACCCGCCCCCGGGGCGCGCTGAGAAGGTGCTGAGACTGGGCGTGGTAGTGCAAGCCTGTAATCCCAGCTCTTGGGAGGCTGTAAACAGTCGGATCACTATGAGTCCGATCTAGTAATGAGACCCTGAACACGCTGTAGACTAAAAAAAAAAAAAAAAAAAAAAGACCAGATTGTTGTGTTCAAATGAAAAACTGCAGGGAAGTAAGTGAGAAACCCACCACTCATGAAGGAGACAAAGCAGGTGTGAGATGGGAGTGCTGGGCAGGTGCTTGGTGAAGGCGCCTGCACTAGTCAGTCATGGCTTGTGTGCAGATCCGGGAAGAATGGCCCTGCAGGAGCCCGCCCCTGGCATCACGGCAGAAGAGTGTGGTGACGAGATCTGCTTGTCACATGGCAGCCAGGAAGTAGAGGCCCAAGGAGCAGCCACGTCCAAGAACATGGATCTCTTAAGACAGGAAGGGAACTTGGCATGGAGAGAAGACAGAGGGGAGCAGAAGGGAAGTAGAAAGGACCAAGATGCAGCCTGCCTATGTACCTGCTCCCCCTCATGAATGTATTCATCGTATGTCACAATGTGTTCTAATGAAGAAAAGAATATGTTCCTCCTCCAGGTCACCCCTCCCAGTGACCCACCTCTTCCAATCAGGCCTCACCATCCAACATGTGAGATTTTAGGTGACCTTTTAGCTCTAAGCCAGAGTGCTGCATTGCATTCTATAGCCACTCTTAGAATTTATTGTTATTGTTATCCCCATCTTACAAAGGGCTTACGTGAATGCTGTTTTCACTTTTAGAGAAGGAAAAACATCAATGCTTTTGCTGCAGGACAAGGTTAAACTCAACGGGACTCAGGGACTGAGTCTCAAGGTGATGCTTGATGTTTGTGCAGATGAATTACAATGCTAGCCACTAAGTAACCACGTTAGGCCTGTGGGGCTGTGACATTTCAAGTGCAGCACTTTCAGACTGTTTGTTTACCACCTCCAAGGTACCATGTCTGTCCTTAAATAGCTGCACTAAAAACATGGTTTTGCCTTGGCCCTCACCTTTAAGGTGCTTGGCCAGGTAATCAAAGAGGCACAGAAAAGAATACTTGCCTCCTCAGTTACTATTTAAAAATAAAATTATAATAATTATCAAATAACTATTCATATTAATATTGAATTTATGTAGAATACACCATTTCAAATAAAATTCTTAGCTGGGCATGCTGGTGCATACCTGTAACCCCAGCACTTGGGAAGCTGAGGCAGGAGGATTGCTGTGAGTCTGAGCCCAGCCTGGTCTACTTACTGAGTTCAAGGGCCAGCCTGAAATGTATAGTGAGACTCCTCTCAAAAGAAGAAAAAAGCCAAAATTCTTGACCACAATTATATCACTTCTTATTGATCGTTACATTTTTGTTATGGTGATCAGTTTCCCCTCATAATTAAGCCGGTTTCCCCCTTAAATTAACCAGTTTACATCTTGAACCTCTGCTGGTGTCCGGGGTTTGTCTGAGATCCTGAAGTTAAATCACATACCTATTGTGCACATCTCCTTCTAACCTTCCAAATGTTCTCACTTAAAACTACGTCAAGGAAAAAAAAAAAAAAAAAGCCTGCCCTGATTTGGTTCCTGCTGCTTCTCTCTTGGTCACATACAGTGAGAAAAACAAATTTGTGCATAAAATAAAGTGAACAATAGATGAAAAAATAATCCTAGACCTCGTTTTACATAGTAGCTGGCTTTACAGCACATTTCTGAAAATTCCAAACTGTCTCCTTGAGCATGGACCTACTAGTTATTTTTTCACCAAGTTACATGTAACAGCTTCTTAGCTACCATGAACTTCCCGGGAAGCATCCTAACTTTTCTCTGCTACCACCTGTGTGTAGGTAGTCAGCTTCTTTTAAAAGACTGGGAGTTATACAGACAGGGAGTGCCAGATTTAGTGCTCTTTGAAAGTAAATGAAAGAAGCCAGAAGTTTTGCCAGGGACATAATGTGGTTTCTTCCCAGCAGAGTCCCCTCACTCTTTGGCTGTGTCAGGAATGATTCTAAGGAGGAAACACTGATCTTGCAGATCTTTGACCCCAGTGCAAAGGGTCATGGCTCTTAGTGTCTTTTTTTCTGATCTCTTCTAGGATTGTGAAGATGTCCAGTCCCAATCTGAACATTGTGACCATATTGGGCAGTTGTTTGACTTACACTAGTGCTTACCTCTTTGGAATTCAAGGTGTTTTAGTGGGGAGCTCAATGGAAACTCTCATCCAGGTAGGTGATATTTTGAATATAACTACTCTTCTTAGTGGTGGTTTCCTGTCTTTGGTGTGCACACATTCAGAGGCGATCCTTAGCACACAGTCAGCGAGACCCCTTCCTACCCCACATCTTCTGTGGGCCTGAAGCTTTGCAGTCAGAATGCATGAAGTGGTGAAGGCTTCTCTCATGACTTTCGATTCTTTCCCCTTCTACTTATAGCTAAGACTGTCCCTGCTGTGCATTGGGACCTCCCTTGTGTTTGGCCCCATTCTGGGGAAGAGCTGGCGACTCTACAAGGTGTTTACCCAGCGGGTCCCGGACAAGAGAGTGGTGAGTAGGCATCAAGTACACAGTGTGGACTGCATGTAGCTGCTCCACAGAAGAGTCAAAGCTAGAGGCTGCTATACATCACCAGGACTCAGTCCCTTAAAATATCCTAAAATTCTTGTTCCTCACTTCAGACCTTGAAGTCATGTGACCTTGTAAAGCCCCGGACCTGGAAGGTGTGAGTCCTCACTTTGGGGGCTGTTTCTGACGTGAGCTCCGCTTTGTTGCACACCTGTCCAGGGCCTTGTGGGCACCTGTGAGTCAGGCACAGTGTAGGGGAGAATAGCTGTTGTTCTTGCTTGGCACAGGTGTGAGACTGTTGCTTGGTTGGCACAGGTGTGAACTAGAAAGGAAGGAGAGCGATCAAAGAAAAGCTGTAGCAAATAAGCAAAGTATCCCCCATCCATACCGCTGCTGGCCTGGAGCCCAGGTCTTCTCTGTGAAAGAGGCAGTTCTCTGCATGGAGATACAGATAGAGCAGTAATAGTCCACACCAAAGGCCAAGGGGCAGCCAGATTGCCCAATACCCCAATATCAGGCATCACTGTAACCACATCCCACCATTTAATCAGGCTCCCTGATAAAACTTCTCAGCCTCAAGACCACATCAGCCTCCTTGGCTGAAGGCTCAGCCTGGACCCAGTACATCATGTGGTTGAAGTCTACTTCTCTGGAATAATGGGATTTTTTTTTTGACCAAGCATTATTGAGTCGTGGTGAATATTTATTAAAAACTCAGCTGTAACTACACAGATGAAGATGACTGCCTGAAAAGACAAAATGTCCAACTGTCCCTCTAGAAGACTGGTTCCTTTTTCAAAGATATCTTTCTGAGGCATAACTGACCTGGAATGAATTATATATACTGAAAGTATGTTTTGATAAGTTTGATACATGTACATCCAGAGACATGGCATATAATGAACGTATCCATCACCCCAGCATCACCCCAGTATCACCCCAGCAGTGTTTTCGGGTGTTATTGTCCAATTCTTACATCCCTGTCCCTATCCTCAGTCACCATTAATTTGTTTGCTGTCATTATGGATTGGTTTGTGTTTCCCAAGCTTTTATGTATGTAGAATCATACAGAATTTACTCTTTGCCTCACTTATTTTAGTCACATAATTATTTTGATGGATGCTATGATTATTCATCTGTATTACCATGTGTATTAGTAGTTCTTTTGTTACTACTGCTGAGTAGTATTTTAGTGTGTTGATAGATGTTTGGGTTGTTACCAGTTTGGGACTATTAAAAATTAAAGACACTATGAATTTTCATGTGTATATCTTTCTATAGACATATGCTTTCATTTCTTAGACACAGATCTGAGGGCAAACTATTTGGATAATATGATAAGTTCATGTTTCAGTTCTTAAGAAAGTCCCAATTGTTTACCAAAGTGATCGTGTCCATCTACATTTTCTAATGACAGTGCTTACATTTCCTCTAAACATCCTTGCAAACATTTGATTTCATCAGATATTTTCATTTTACCATACTAGTAGGAGGTTAGTAGTCTCTCATCGTGGTTTTAATTTACATTTTCTTAATGTAATGTTGAGCATCTTTTCACATGCTTATTTTTCCACTTATCTGTTTTGCGAAGCATCTATTCAACTCTTTCACCTAGTCTTTCTAATTGAATGAATTTTGGTTTTTTATTGCTGAGTTTTGAATGCTGTAAGCCACATATTATTGTCATTATTTTATTTAAATAGTTATGTTTTAAAGATATTTAAATAATAAAAATCAGACATATGTTGTCCATGTAGTTACCATTTCCATTGTTTTTAATTTCATGGACAGACCCACCTTTTATCTGTATCACTTTCCTTTTCAAACCTGAAAGATATCTGTCATTCTCATGTGAGTATGCTAGTGCTGAAATTGTTCAGATTTTGTGTATATGAAAAGGTCTTTATTTTACCTTTCTTCTTTTCTCTTTTCTTTTCTGCTAGGAATTGAACCCAGGGCTTCATGCATGCTGGACAAATGCTCTAGCTCTCAGCTATAATCCCAGCTCCTCACTTCTCTTCACAACTTGAAGCCATCCCTCCCCCATTTCTCTCTTGGCTTTGTATCATGAGAAGCCCAATATCTTCTTTACATATAACATGTCATTTTTTCCTCTGGTTGCTTTGAAGAACCTCTCATTAATGGTTTGAGCAGTTTTCTCAGGGAACTGAATTATTTATACCTTAAAACTTATAACTAGTGGGACTTCTTCCTTTCCATTGGGTATCAAAAACACAGATGCACATCTTGCCCAGTTCATCAGTACTATATACATTTCTCACCTAAGCTTTCCTCATATTTCTAATTTTCTCTCTTCCCTGGTATTTTTCAGTGTTTTATCCTGTCACAGTATATTTTTTCTTAATTTTATTTTTATGATGACAAAAGTAACATTCTCTTCCTATCAAGTCAAATAGTATATATGTACACTAAAAAAAATGTTAGTAATTTCCCAGTACCTTCCTCTCTGCTCCACCCTCTGGGTTGGCAATTGTCTCAGATACATTTCTTTCATTGCAGGGACAAAATGCCTCATACCCAAAATTAAGGAAGGCAAGATTTATTTAGCTCACAGTTTGTGGAGCTTTCAGTCTGTGTGCAGAATGGCACATGGCAGAGGACAACAGTTCATATGAAGGTGATAGAAAACAGCAAGAGCCCAGAGGGAGGAGCAGTGGCAGAGCAGCAGAGGCAGAGACAAGCCTCTCTTCTCTCCTCATATTGCCTTCGGGCTATGTGCCCCGGGGCAGGTGTAGCATGCACATTCATAATCCCAGCAGCACTTATATCCTTAATCCCAGCATTGGGTCATGAATTAATCACAGACTCTAGAAACCCACCCCAATGACTACATGAGGCTTTGGGGGGAACAACTGGACACAAATCCTAACAGTTTTTAGCAGTTTGGTGTTAAAACCTCCACATTTCTCTATGTGTTCATATAAGCATATCTAGAAATAACTGTGTTTATTTTGCAAGTCCCTTTGAATCCTTTGTCAGAAAATACAAAATACAGAAAAGTTTCAGAAATGAAGACATCAGTAGTAATATTGATGAAAATAACACGGACAGCGTGATAAATGTTTAGTGCCTGTTTCATTGTTGATGGCTGTGTTTGAAGCTCTTGGGAGGGCTGTCCCTGGAGCCCTTAGCCCATGTAAAGCACTCTGGTCCCTTTGTCAAGTAGCCAGAAAGCAAAGGGACACTCTGACCTTGACTTTTGCAGATTATCAAAGACCTGCAGTTGCTGGGGTTGGTGGCAGCCCTAGTGATGGCTGATGTGGTCCTGCTTGTGACATGGGTACTGACCGATCCTGTCCAGTGCCTGCAGATCCTTGGTGTCAGCATGACGGTGAGTGGCCCAAGCCCTGGGGAATCTAAGTCCTTCTGGGCTGGCCTCTATGTTATATAGGGTCATTTTCACAGCAGCATCCACTGAGTGGCCATCCCTGTGCAAAGAGAGGGAGAAGAGACAGAGCAATGGCTGCCACTCCTACCGCTCCTCATGCACGAGTGTCCTGTCCTGTGGACACCCCTGAGATGGCAACGGCCTGGAGTCTGCCTGGCACTTATGTCTGCCTTCACATGACCAATAAGGGATGTTGGCTTCCCTAATGGTTGGGAGGCAGAGGTATTTTGAGATAGAGTTGCTCATCCCTGGTTTAAATCCCCGGATTCTACCATGCTCTCATGACCTTGAGAAACTTATTTAGCCTCTCAAAGTCCCTTTTCCAGATAAGATAGAGATGATAGTACTGCCTATTTTGTAGGGCTATAATGAAGAGTAAGAGAAACAATTCAAGTAAAAGACTTAATATGCCTGGCACACAGTATTCAATGAATAGCATCATAGGGGACTGAGGAATACAGTGAAACCTTGGCACTCTAGCTAGGATCTAGTGTACTTAGGATTCAGCTGTTTGCCAGTAAACCTCTATAATGTGAAATAATCCAGAACTTTGCGGAGGCATTGGTGAAGTCATTATGGAAGCAAAGCACATGACCAAGAGAAAGTCCTGTGTCCAGTAACCACTTGTTCACCCCACTATACCACCTCTTCCTGCAACTTGGAGTCAATCATTTAAGTTCTAGGGGAGTCACTTCAGTTACAATTTTTTTGTTTGTTTTTGTATAGTAGAGGGGAAAATATATATTGTAGAGGAATATATAGTTTATGATGTTTGCAAAGATCTCCTGTGTGATTTGGAAACTGTAGGAGCTATCAGGCCTGACCCTGTGTCCCTCCTAGGTGACAGGGAGAGATGTGTCCTGCTCTTTGACCAACACACACTTCTGTGCTTCGCGGTACTCTGATGTCTGGATCGCTCTCGTTTTGGGATGCAAGGTTGGTAACCACAGCTCCTTTGGTACCAGCTATTTGTCACCAACAGAATAGATATGAAGAGAAAATTATGGAAATTGAGTAGGACCTATTAATTACTAATGTCTGCAAAGAGTCTTGGACCTAGAGGAGACCTCCTTGTTGGTGCATAAATCTCAAAGCCAGAACCATTTTTCTTCCTCTACATGTTATGTTTGCAGGGTCACTTTCCAACTCTCTGGCTGTCTTCATTCAGTCCTCCCCTGTTAGTCTACTTTCTGCCATTGTGACAAAATACCTGAGAACAACAATTTAAGGGGAAAAACAGCTTTATTTTGGCTCCTGGTTTCAGAGTAGTGCATGGTCTGTTGGTTCTGTTGGCTCTGGTCTGTGACAAAGCAGAAATATCACAGCAGAGGGTATGTAAGCTACTCATCTTAGTAGCCAAAGGATGAGGGGTCACCAGAGAAGGTGTCAGAAACAAGGCTGTCTTCACAGCCAGGCCCCCAGCAACATGCTCCATCCAGTTAGACTCCTACCTGCAAAGTATCGCTGTCTCCCACTAAGGACATTCAGTTGTGAACCCACCAGCAGGTGCTCATGTCCAGTCACCTTCCCAAAGCCCCACCTCCAGACACAGGATCCTTAGGGGGACATTTTAGATCCAATCTAGAACACCCTTTGAGTCATCTGGATTCACCCTGCTTCTCCAACTCTATAGCCCGATTTTCATGTTGATTTCATAGTACTGTTTTCTCTGAAGCTTCCCTGCAAGAAGAATTATGAGGAGACATTCTGCCTGGCTTGATTTCTTCTCCCAAGAGTCCTTACAAGCTTCTTGTATCTTTCTCCAAGATTTGGATCACAGATCCTGGTGCCTTTTACCCATGCAATTTTCTCTGTCTGGCTGGGAGAAGGTCCGGTCCCAGGGCTGGCAGCAACATGCACAGTGTTCAGAGCATGTCCAGTTCCATCAAAGCATCTTCCATGGTGTCCCAAGTCACCTGCCCTTGGACTCATTAGGAGAACAAACATAGAATACTCTTTGGACACCTAACACCAAGGGCTGCCCTCAGAACAGACCCTCTCTCAGCAGTTTTGCAGCTTAGAAATCCAGAGAACTGGCTCTGAGGGTGCAGGACAGGCCTGTTCTCATGAGGCCACTGTTGACTACTGGCACAGAGGGGTCGGGTAAATGATTGCTGGAGGTTTTGTAGCCACAGTGACCTTTAAAGGTAACCTTCACTCACTGCACCACTTGGAAGATGTTAGAGGTAATTCCTTTTGAGGAATCCTGGGATGGATTCACTATGGGCCTATATTACTTTGATAGAAATACTTTTTTAAGAAGGCTTCAGGAGGTGAACAGCCCTTGGTCTCTTGCATCTTGCTAGTGAGTGGGGAAACAAGCCTCAGTACATAATGACATAGAGTGAAGTCCAACTCAGCCCCTCCCTCACTGCCCATGGCCCTCCTTTCACCTTCTGAACTTTGGTCTCTCACTTGTGAAATGGAGACCATGATGGCTTCCCCTCAGAGCTGTGTGGAGCTACAAAGCAGGAGAATTTCTGGCCTCTCCTGGCCCATAGTGAGAGCTCGGTATGGAGATACAGTTGGATTCAGTTATGACTGTTCTTCTGTGGCCTCTGGACAGGTCTGAGGAGCCCAGTGCCCTTGGGCTCCATGGTGGGTCGCACCTTGCTTATCTCATGTGGGCTCCCTTTCCCACTTTATGTCACTGTCATATTGTTCAGTAGGATGAAAGAAGGAAGGAGGAAAGTGACCCTGGGGAGTCATCAAGGGGCTCCTGAGAATGGTGACATAGAGTTCTTAGAGTCCCCATATAAGCCTGTCACCTCCCCCAACCCTTTACAGTGAAGGCAGATGACACACAGGGGTCATGTGTGACACACTCAAAATGGAACCCTCAGTGTGTGGGAGCCTTATTCACACTGCTCTGCCTTTTAGCACAAGTTTAATGGAATTGAAACATTTTATGAGAAGACTATTTAAACACTTCAGAATTACATTATTAATTCCATTCACCTTTGACACAAGTACAGATGGTCCAACTCTTCCAAATGCCTCCCTGCTGTGTCAGTGACCCAAGCACCAGCCCCTCTGGCCTCCTGACCTCTGTGTCCTCTGGTCACTGACCACCATAGAACAGCTACGTTCAACCCTTCGGCCCCACGTGGGACCTGGGCATTAGAAGTACCTGAGAGGCAGCTCTGCTGTGAGGATTCCTCCCCTCCTGGCACACTGGTGCTAGAAATCCTCTCTAGGGCCATCCCACGGGGGAGCTGGAGGGATACTGGAAGGGTCCTCTGCCCCATGGACTCACCAGCATTTTCTGGCCATGCTCCCAGCCCAGCCTTGCCCCAGTGGCAACGTCACACCTGTATTATATCCAGGAGTATGTCTGCTCCCCAAAACCTCCCTATAAGCCAGGGCCCCGGCAAACATGAGCCATGGCTTACCCCTGTGGTACCAGTTCCTGAGCTACACCTAGCGTGGTGCTTTACACATCGTCGGACCAGCCAATGTCGAACCATGTGTCACTGATTAAAGCTCTGCTTTCTGTGTATATGCAGCTCCATCTGGAAAAAGCACCTGGAGTGGGGAGTTTCTCTCTCCTTAGCGCAGACAGGAGCACCAGAGCAGTTGGTGGCCATGGAAAGGGGAAGGCTTGACCTTGAGGTCCTTGTGGTGGTGCAGAGACTGTCACAAAGCAGGGAACACATAGATGCAGTGACTTCAGCCCTTGCCTGCCCTCACCCTTGCCTGAGTCCCAGCCTGCCTCCTCCTCTTCTTTCCCACCCTCCATCTCCCAAGTTGGGCCAGTGGACATGGTTGCTCTCACCACTGGATGCAGGGGTACCCTGCCCTCCAAATCCTCATCTCTCCTGTTTATAGACACCATCCACCCTTGGAACCTGTTCTGTCTTTGTGTCAGGAGAGCCCTGCATCACAGCTGACTTTCTGACCTCCAATGAACTAATTCTCAGTGAAGGAGAGGAAAGTGACATTTAGTAAGTCCCCACTATATATAAGATATGATTGAAAACTATAGTGACTGTTTTCAAAAGCTTTTTAGATTTCTTACAGTAAAAGACATATGGCTATGAATGTTCCTTAACATATTCCCCTTACTTCAAACACACTCTCCCTCTTTCTTGCCACTTTCTGAAGCAGTTCTGGAGGTCCTCTTTCGTGAGTATCTCTCACTAGCCTCTCATGCCTGCCTCAGGGTCCTGAATGGAATCGAAGCATTCAGCATTTGTGGTTCCCTCTGAGAAGAACCAATAGTTGCACAGTGCTAGGCTCAGTGACTAAGGTGAATAAGGATACAGCGTTGTGTTTTCATTTGACTTAAATTGCTGTGAATGTTTGATGAACAAGGTGTGATCAAAAACATGGTGAATGTTTAAATTAAGACGTGTATGACAGTGAAAGGCGCTAATCTCAAAATACTTCTTTCACTTTGAACATACTTACACCATGACCCCTAGCAATGCATCTTTTTACTGTAACAATATTTTTTTACATTGAACATTTGCTGTGTATTTCAGTCACCCTAAGAGTTTCCCTACATGCTGTAAATCCTCCCAGCTGTCCTAAGGCAGGTTTCATTGGCGCAGGTTTGCAGATATGGACCTCGCTTCCAATCCTGCCGCTCTTTGAGCTGTTTCTTCTCCTCTGTGTCCTCGGTCCCCGCTGCACTCCAGGGGCTGCTTTTGCTGTACGGCGCCTACCTGGCTGGCCTGACAGACCACGTCAGCTCTCCTCCTGTGAATCAGTCCCTCGCCATCATGGTCGGGGTCCACCTGCTGGTCCTGGCTGCGGGGCTGGCTTTTGTGGTCACCAGATACTTGCACACCTGGCCCAACCTGGTCTTTGGACTCACATCTGGAGGCATCTTTGTCTGCACAACCACAATCAACTGCTTCGTCTTCGTGCCCCAGGTATGCTCTGGGGAGGGTTTCGCATGGCTGGGCCTCTTGGTCCTGCTAGAGTTTTAACGGGATGGTAAATTTCCTCCTTTATTTTCTGCTGATGCCTTTTGGTGCCACATAGTAAGAGTGGAAAGGACGCGGCTCCCTGCTCCTTCCTCTCTTCCTGAACTCCCATTCCCTGCAGGGGGCCCCACAGAAAGCCCATCCAGCCCTCACCCCTTTCTTTCCTCCTCACCTCCTTAGTGTTAACCTCTTCAGTTAGTCTGGGAGGGAGGAAGATCTCCTTTCCAATTTGGGCTTGCAGATTTCACAAAAGAAAATCTGGAAACTTATTATTTAAAATACTTTTCCTGTCTTTGTATGGAAGGAAACAATGGAAACTTCCTCTTCTTTTTATGATGAGGAGAAATTTTAAAAAAAAATGTGTTTCATGTTATGAGGATTAAGAAATCAATCATATAAGGGAGCATGAGAGAAGCAGAACTATCCAGAAGGCAAAGAGGAAGCAAGGGGGTGGAAGGAAGGAGGAAGAATCCACAGGCTCACAGGAAACTGCTGTGGAACTGCCCTTGCCGTGCCCTGGCCACCACCCCCAGCCGCTTCCGCCCCCACGAGTGGGCCTGGCGCCGACCACGTTTCCTCGTGGATCGCAGCAGCCCTTTTCCATTGGCTCCTGCACCTGCAGCGTAGCCTGGGCCGGTGTTCAAATGAACAAAACTTGGAGAGCTTCAGGCCCCTCTTTTCCTGGCTTACAGGCAACCTCTGCCTAGAGCGGTGACGTCCTAAAGGTATCCATCCCCTGTGTGTAAGAACACGGAGTCTGGCTGGGGCTGATGCTGATCTAGCTGGCAAGGCCCAGCAAATAGCTTTCGCTTTTGTTGCGAAATACTGGGGCTAAAACCCAGGAGCTGAACTAGACCCCCAGCTCTATTTTTTTAAAACTTTGAGACAGAGTTTTACTGTTTCCCAGGATGAGCTCAGACTTGCGATTCTTCTGCCTCATCTTCCCAGGTAGCTGGGATAACGGGCGTGTGGTGCTGTGCCCGGAGAGGTACTCTGCTGCCTCCTCGCCTCAGTTTCCCTTTTCTCCCCACACGCAGACCTCCATTCCTGTGCCCAATGCAGCCTCTGGTCACCCCACCACTTCCTCTGTGGCCTTGGAGGTGGCAGGGGAAATGTGATGCTAGCACATGCAGGCAGGGTCCTTCACACCTCTCCTCTGCAGAAATTCTCATTAAAATATTCAACAGAATAAGCAAATACAGAGACAGCAGCAGCAGCAGCAGCAGCGTTGTACTCCAAGGATAGGTCTTGCATCTGTGTCATGAACAGGACACGTTGGCCAAATGGGAAAGTAAAAGTGGATTAAAGCTGGGCGTGGTGCGCATGCCTGTGATTCCCGCTCTCTGAGAGGCTGAGGCAGGAGGATCGCAAGCTGGAGGTCGGCCTGGGCAGCTGAGTTTCTTGCCAAAGTCCTGCTTCAAAATAAACAAGAATAAAAAGAGGTTGTGATGTACTCAGTGCAAAAGCCCCGGGTTCAATCCCTAGTTCTGGAAGAAAAAAAAAAGCTGAATTGAAGGAAACGAGCGACAACAGAGGTTTTTGTCTGGGATACAGCAAACTCAGTCTCTAAAAAGCAAGAGCTGTTTCTTGGCAGAAAGGAGAAATGGAGGGTAAAAGCATCGTCTTTGGCCCTGTGGCCAACACTGTTGATTGGTGAATGTCATACCAGCAGCCCCTTTTGTCCTTGTTTGTCTCCACTATTTAGCCTGAAAGACCTAGATATCTGTTTTGCCAACTTCCTTATAGCCAGAAGTGTCCTGTGATACTGTTTGAAACACTGGAGGGTTTCTGAGAGGCCTCTGAGAATGTTTTTTTTTTTTTTTCCTGGGGGTGGGGGGAGTCATAAACAGGATATGTGTGCCCCTTTTGTCTTCTTCCTGTCTTGAGCAAATGTGATACCTGGAGGGATGGCAGCCATTTTGTGACCATGAGGGAAAAGCCCTAATATATTTATTATACTAGGAAAACAGAGCTCTTCCCATGCAAGACTGTAAGTTCACGTAAGACCTCCATCTGAAAGTGCAGAGGAGAACACCTCCAGAAGGTGGCCCTGGCCTGCCGCCTCCCCTCACTACTGCACCCTGGCCATGATCCTCTGCACCCTGGCTTTGGATCCTCTACATCTAGGGCAGTACAGTGTCTCCATACACACCTTTCTGCACACAACACCAAGGTAGGGGGATGCACAGCTTGAAACCTGACTTCTGATTGCAACTGAGCAACCAGTGTTTTGTTTGTGGAGGCGGAAGACACTGGAGTCATGGGTACCCGGGCTGCGCAGCTTTTCTTTCCTTCTCCCCTCCTCACGTTCCCTTTCCTCCTAGCTTTTGTGGGCTTGCTCTGTCTTACTTTAGCTCTCCTCATACCTTCTCTCTCGGGCTTTTTCCTAGGATGTAGAATGAAAACGTATGTCTTCTAATCTATTGTATTTTACTAGGAAATTAAAAAAAAAAATTCCTGCTGGTGGTGGTACTGGGGATTGAATCCAGGGCCTTCACACTGAGCTACACACATAGCCATTTTTTAAACTTCTTTTATTTTGAGACAGTTTCACTAAATTGCCCAGTCTGGGCTCAAACTTGCAATCCTCCTGCCTCAGCCTCCCTGAGTATAACCCTTTTTCAAACTGCAATAATGATTGAGGTTTGTCCCCACACTGATCTTCCTCTCTGGCTCAGAGGTCTTCAGGAAAACTATCCTGTGAGACTTGTATCCCCGGGACAGTAGCAGAGCTGAGCAAATTTGGAAATGAGCATGAGAAGAGCTGCACCGCCAAGTCGGTTCCTCTGAACACTGACGTTCAGAGTCAGCCAATGGGAGTTGGTAAAAGCACAGGACCTGGTAACCCAAGGCCTCTAGGGGGCGCCAGAGAGCTGGCTGGAATGAAGACAATGAAGCAGAGGACCTTGGAGCCTTCCCTGCCTGACTCAGGAAATGCCTAAGTGTTTATGCCAAGCGCTGAGGTCACCACCAGCAATCAGGCCGCCTCTGCCTTGGTGACTTCAGGGTGACCCACCCCACTCCACGCCCCTGTGAGAGGCAGGACATGGCTTCCTCCTTGGTGCCCGAGTGTTTCCCTCCACGGGGAGGATGCTTTCTAGCTGCCTGTCTGTGTCCCGGCAGCCATGACAGACTGCAGCACTTTTCATAGGAAAGCTTGCTTTATGGACTCTCGTTTGCCTCTCTTCCCGCGTCTCAGCGGCTCCCCTGCCATCTGGGGGAGCAGAGGCAGAAAAGCCCTGTGTCAGGTGCTTTGGGGTGGCATGCAGCCCCGCCTCCCTGGGAGACAGTGGCACCTCCCCAGCACATGGATGGCTGAAGTCAGTCTCCAAGGGACAGTAAAAGATCACTGAGAGTCAGGGAAGGACAGGGTGGCATCTCATATGCGACCCTGCCAAGACCAGGGACAGAGAGCTGAGGGCAGCTGTGGTGTGGGGAAGGGCACAAGGCCTTGTTGAGTGGAAGCACAAAAGGAACCAGCAGAGAGGGAGCTGGCGAGGGACCCAGGTGTGCCAGGGTGTGACCTGTTAGTGACTTGAACTTCACCCCACTGAAGAGGCTTCTTGTTACTGGAACAAATGACCACAAGCTTAGTGGCTTCAAACAACACCACTTTCACAGTGTTGGAGGACAGGAATCCATGGTGAACCTTGTTTGGCTACAATCAAACCTTGGTAGGTCTGTGTTTGCGCTGGAGCCCCTAGAGGCAATGTGCTTCCTTATTTCCCAGCTGCTAGGGGCCACCTGCATTCCTGCTCCTGTCCCTGCCTCCCCTTCTGAGCCAGCCACATGGAACCTACCAGTCCCCATCAATCTCTTTCTCCCCGTCTCCCCCATAGTCACATCTCCTCTTCTGATCCCTGCCTCCCTCTTAGAAGATTCTTGTGATGACATTGGCCCCACCTTCATAAGCCAGAATCATCTCCCCTTCCCCAGATCACACGTCCAAGGTTCCTTCTGCTGTGTCACGTTGATGCTCCCAGGTTCCAGGGGCTCACAGGGGAATGGGCCTCTTTTCAGGGCAGGACTCATGCAATGCGGAGGCTGAAAAGACAAGCACCTGTCTGTCCTTCTGGAGGAAGAAGTGCTTGTGACCTGTACCACTACTTAAGGAAGCCTGAGGGGGCAGGTCTGCACAGGGGAAGCATTGGTGATGGGTGAGGGCCTCCTTGGCTTCATCCGCCCGGCCTAGGGAGGGACGATGGGAAGCCCCAGTGGAGCTGGTAGCCATACCAACCTGTCCCTCCACACCATGGGAGGACTAGGGCTAGCCAGTGCTGGGGACAGGAAGGAAGAGCTGTGCCACTAAGAAAAGGGGACTTTGAGGGGACCGGAGCCCTGGGCATCCCCAGGGGCTGTGTGTGGAGTAACCCCGAGAGGGCTCTCCCTCTCCTCCAGAGCAGAGAGTGACCCTGTGGTGTCTCTGGAGTAGGCTATGTTCCTCTGTGGGGAGAAGGCCTTCAGAAAGTGTAGAGAGTGGGGAGCCCTGGCCTGGCCTAGTGCCATGCAGGTTTCTGGCACTATGACAATGTGTGCTCAGCCACCAGAGGACCTAGAGGCCTTGGGTGAGAGTATGGGGCCAAATCCGAGAGGGATCTGAGAAACATGAATGCACGATGAGGGAGGGAGGGAGGAGATCCACGCTTTCCTGCAATGTCCCCTCCCCAAGACACCTCAGCCATATTTCCCTGAGGTGCCAGAGCATCTCTCACTGGTCACTTGGTCATGAGGTTCTTGGGGGGGGGGAGAGAGAAAGAGAGAGAGAGAGAGAGAGAGAGAGAGAGAGAGAGAGAGAGAGAGACTGCCACCACTGTGGCCCCCATCACCTGCATCACAGTGTGCACTAAGAGGACACCACGTCCAAGAGGCCCCGAGCAACCCCTTTGTGCCAGCCCTGTCCCAGCTAGGGGGATCCCGCCTGTACCTCCACAGCTTATCCTGAGGCCAGTTTCTGCTGGGAAGCTGAGCCCAGCACCCCCACTGCTCACAGGCTGTGTCTCTCTCCCGTGTGTGGCGCAGGCCCTGGTCACAGCTGTGCATCTGCTGCTGCCTCTCTGGGTGGGCTTGGATGAGTCACACTCCTTGAGTCTTTGCTCATTTGTCAAAAAAAAAAAAAAAAAAAAAAACAATGTGGTCACGTGTCAAACATCTGGTCTTCTTGAGTGTGGATTTGGGTTTGAAGCCACCGACTAGGAACTGGGTCCTCCACAGCAAGAGGCACATCCCAACTCGGCACACGCAGAGCCACTGAGCACAGCCACATCCGACTAGACAGAGCTCCTTTCATTGGAAGCATATGGTGTTTAAAATCTTTCCCCTAGTGACTGCTTCGAAACTCTGGCTCTGGAGTTATACTTCATTCTGGTTTCTTTTATCAGTTTGGCAGTGGCAGAGAGGGCTATTCTATCTACCTATCACTGCTTTCCTGGCAATTTTTAAAACCACATAAACTTAGCATTCTTTGTACTGTCAGTCCTTACTGGCTCCAAGCCCCCCAGAACAAAGTGCATTTGGAGCAGAGCTGAGCACATGTGCATCCGGGACGGTGCCATTCCTGGGTGTTCATGAGAAAGAGAGAGGGAATGTATTTCTGGGTGTGTAATGAAATAAATAACATGTGTTCTTCTTTCTAACAGCTGAAGCAATGGAAGGCATTCGAAGGGGAAAACCAAACAATCAGACGCATGGCCAAGTATTTCAGCACTCCCAGCAAAAGCTTCCAGCCACAGTTTGGTGAGGAGCAGAACTGCCACCCTCGGGCCGAGAAGAGCTCCATGGAGAGGCTGCTCACGGAGGTGAGCTGTGCTGCCCAGGTCGGGGTGGTCACTCTGGCTGCTGTCACTGCCAGCATCCCCCCACCCCATCTCCAGCATCCTTCCACCTCTCCACTGACCAGCTCCACTTCGCTCATTCAGTGAGCCACTGGGCTTCCAGTTTTTATACTGGTCAGGAAGCAAAATCATAACTGTGGCAAGAATTAGCAAGAGGGAGCTGGGGAGATGACTCAGTGGAATAAGGGCTTCCCTGGAAAGGCAAGCTCAAGGGCCTGTGTTCAATCCCCGGTTCCGCCAAAAAAAAAGAATAAGCAAGAACAGAGCGAGGGTGGAAAATCAGAAGAGCAGGTGTAAGGGAGCCCAGGAATCAGTCGCAGCCCTGATGGAACTCTAGGGACAGGAGTGAAAGGTTAAGTAGGATTGGGCTGGGCAGAAGGTACGGGGAAAGTATTCCCAGCAGAGGGAACAGTGCTGGAAAGGCTGAGTTGCAGGGGAGGCCAGCAGGAGTGTGACACATCCATTTAAGTCCCATGGGGCCCTACTGTATTCTCCAGGTACTGGAGTGCACAGTCAGCCATCAACCCCAAAAGGTGAGACAAGTCTGCAGGTGGGGATGGGCTCCAGGCAGCCCAGCCCTTCCTCCTGCAGTCCTTCAACCAGAGCTGGCCTCTGTCTCAGAGAGTGGAGTGTAGGCTCCCAGTGGCACACAGGCAAGTGTGAGGGCTGCGATCCTCAGGAGGAAGGCGCAGGGCCCAGGATGTTAGTATTCTGACACAACTAAATCACGTCCCATATTTTGCTCAGTACAGATTGTACTTGAGTAAGTGCTATTTGAAAACTGAATATTTTAATAGCAGGATGGCCCCTGGATGTGATTAGTCCTCTGAGACCAGGTGTGGGGGACACCTAAGGGCCACCACTGAGCAGGCTGAGCCTGCCATGCCCCCGTGGACCCCACCCTCTGGCCTCTCCTGAGACCTTCAGCTGTGGACCATTTTTGTCCACCCGACAACTTCCTGTCTTTCTTTACTATCAGCTACACTTTCAGGGCACCATTCCAAAGCCAGCCTTCTCCCCATCTGGCAAGGGAGTAGCCTGCCTTTGATGCTCTGTGAAGACTTCAAAGAAGTGTTTTACCCCCAGCTACGCAGAAGGCCGGAGACTCAGCTAGGGCAGCTTGGGTGGTTTTTAGGTACAGCCAGCTCGTACCGGAACAGCCACAAGCACAGAGTCCTTGGCCTTATGGTAACGTGTGACATGTGCAGTCCCGCACAGTCCTCTGCTTCCCACACAGTGGCTGAATCTGCTGCATCCACACAGGTGTCTTTAACCCGAGAGGAAGAGCCCATGGCATGCAGAGGCAGAGGTGGTGAAAGGCTGCCTCCCAGCACCTGTGATACCTGAAACATTTTTCCCAAAAGAGGCCTGAGAGGAGCATCCAGGCCTGGGACCCACAGGAGTTAGGAAGAGTCTGGGCTCTGTACCCTGTCATCAGCCCTGTCCCTTAGATAAGAACAAACTTCTCCCACTGCAGTAGTGCACGGGTTCCAACCTTCCTGCTGGTTTAACTTTCCCTCCTCTGCAGCCCGCTGTGGCACCCGGCACCTTCCTCAATCCTGTTCCCTGGACAGAACATCTCTCTCTCACCCCTCTGGGACAGGGGTCCCCTGGAAGCTGAAAGGGGCAGCATCTGCTCCTGGCTTCCCTGTCGTGTGATGGCAGTAACTAGAACCTTCCATACTCTGCAGCATAGGAAGCTGCACCAGAGAATTGCGAAGCTGGCTCCACTTCTCCTTAGGCCCTGCACCCCCTGAAACACGCTGTGGGCCTCACCTCCCCTCCCAACCCCCCCACCCCCATGCCAAGAGTAACCATTAATAAGCTCATGTCCAACCAGCAGCCAGGAAGATCCCTTTTGGGCTCACCACGGTGATGCCTCAGACTGCACCTCTGATTAGTGTCCACCATAGTGAAAGCAGAGTCCTGCTTCCTTTTCTGGAAAAGGGAAATTTACTGTTTACTTTAATATTTCTAAATCTGGCCCCAGGCAGCTTCAGATGTTTAGTTTGCTGGGAGAAGAGTATTCTTCCCAGCAAAAGGCTTATACTGTTTTCCAGTACACAGAGAAACTTGTAGATAAGGCACAAAAGGGCAGCACCCAGGTTTCACTCAAGGGAGGGGGGGCATTGTCCTCAGCTGATGGCTTTTCACTAACTGAGCAAAGTCTAAGGCTTCAGGAGGAGGGGCTGGTGGAGGAGGCAAGCCCTTGGGGTCCCATTATACCCACCACCATCACCCTGAGAGATGCTCAGGAGGGCGAGAGACCCAGCACATCCTGGACACCAGCAAGAGCCTTGGTATTGCCCTACCCTGTTAGCCACTCTGCTTCTGGTGAGCCTTTAATTATCTAAGCCCACTGGGAAGTGCCCAACCCTTACTACTCCACAGGCAGGAAGAGGGAACGGCTGGGCAGGTGCTCAGCTGGGAGTCCCTGCCACTTGAGTCACCAGCCCCTCACTGCCCCTGGCTGCTGTCCAGATGGCAAAGAAAGAGTAGCCCAGAGTGAAATGAGGAGTATGGAGGCTAGAGGAAGCTTCTCCCTCCTCTTACCCGTGGAGCAGCGGGTCTGCCTGGGCACCACTGCCTGATCACTGATCCTTCTCCCTTCAGTTACTGCCCCCTTGGAAGACTGTTCTGGGTGAGGCTTCCATGTAAACATGAGAAGTACCCACAACTCAAGCAACTTGTACTAGTGATCCATTTGTCTCCAGGGTGTGGTGAATGGCTGTCCACATGGGCATCCTCAGCCTCTGAGGTAACAGAAAGGCAGCATTCTGGTATCAGATATGTCCTTCTGAGAACAGGTGCTTGAGCTAGTCTCTTTCCCCAAACTCCTGACCCTGTGTCATCTGCCCCAAGACTGTCTGTTCCCTAGGAAGACTTCAGACTGGCTCCTCTGCCTTTGAGCATCAGGACTTTCAAAAAGGGGCATCAAGTCTGAGGTGTACAGCGCATTGACCCACCACAGAAAGAGATGTGGGCGCAGTCACACCTCGCACACCCACTGCCGAAACTCCTGCTGCCCCTTCCTGCCCCATGGCCTCGCAGCTATGATGGGCACACCTTGGCAGCTGTCACCTGCCAGTTGTCCTGGGTGCAGCCTGTTTATTTACCAGCAACCATGCAGCAGGTGGGCAGCTCAGCTGCAGAACTAGTCCAACCCCATTCATCTTCTGGGCTCCATTCTAGGGCAGTTGGTTTAAGCTATCAGGAATAGAGACCCAGCAATAGTTTTCTGTTTGTCTGCCTTAAGTTTCTACAGTAATTCTGATGTACATACTTCATTAGGATATATTGACAGCTAATGCTGCCAGATGGTAGCTTTGCCCTCTCACCCCCTGAGGCCCCACTGAGGGAGCTGATAACACAAGCCTGTGATTCTCATTGTCCTCGTCAAGCTCCAGTCTGATTTGTTGAGCTCAGGAATCTCCACCCTTCTCTCTATTTTACCATTCTCTAGACTGTGTAGCAAGAAAAGAAATATTTTCCCCATTTGTTTGTCCCCTGGAGATGTGCTTCTGATTCTTAGTACCCCAGAACTAGACTGCCCCAAACACTGCCCAAGCTGGTGTCTCGCAGAGTGACCTGACCCTATCAGCTCTAGGGGAGATGACAGGATGCTGTAGCCCCCAGCAGATGGTTAGGTGGGGCCTCCTCTCTCCCACAGTGAGATGGAAGGGGGAAATGTAGACCATAGCAACCTTCAACTGTAGGAACCTTTAGTAAGCCGTAAGTGCTTTGTATTCATCAACTTTCACGTGGTGGAGCTGCCATCTCAGTGCCAGAGGTCACCAGCACATGTTAGGAAGAACTGGGATTTAAACCAAGATCTTCCAGGGCCACACTTTGTCACCATGGGAGGTAATATGGAACTCAGCATCTTTCATTGGTGGATTTGCTTTTACTTTACAGAAAAATGCTGTGATTGAAAGCCTGCAGGAGCAAGTGAACAATGCCAAAGAGAAGCTAGTGAGGCTGATGTCTGCGGAGTGTGCCTATGATTCCCCAGAGTCGGTTGTCCCACCCACTTCCTCCCAGGGCAAAGGGGTCTCCACTGCAGCCTCTGCCCATGGCATGGCACAAGGACCCTCAGGATACTCCTCTGGCCCTCAGAATGATGCCAGCATAGCTGCCCAGGACCCCTGTTGCACTTCAGTCCCTTTCCCACGAATGCAAAGCCACCAGGTCCCTGAAAGGAACACCAGCCCTTCCCTGGGCCAGGAGAAGATACCTGACTTGAAAGACTCCTCTGATCACTTAGAGCTAGGTCATGGCCAGAAGCCTCAGGCCAAGCAGAGCCAGGGTTCAGAAAGAGAACAAGGACCCCCAGCCCGCAGCCAGGATCTCATTCCAAGAAGAGAGGCCTCTAATCTCCAGAAACAGAGGCAGAGCTCAGAGGAGCCATCGGAGAAGCTCCCTAGGGTCAGTTCAGTGGTCAGGGAGAAGCTTCAGGAAGTCATACAAGAGCTGGGTCTGGGCCCCAGGGCTCCACTTCCCAACTCCCTATCTTGTCCTCGGCAACCCTGGAAGGGCAGTGCTGCCCACAGCCCACAAAAGATGCCAATCTCCAGGGAGCTAGGCTTGAGCCCATACATAGTGAGGAGGAGGCGGGCAGCTCAGCGGGCTCGTTCACACTTTTCTGGCTCTGTGCTCTCCTATGTGGGACATCAGACAGATCAGACAATTCCTGGGACACACAGCAGGCTGAATGTACCCAATGGGGATAGCCCCATGCCAGATCATCACACTGCTGCTTTGAAGGTACCAAGGTCTTCTTCCAGGAAGCCTTCACTTCTCCCAGGTCCTCAAGGGAGACCAAACACTGGAGCAGGCAGCAAACGAGGCCAGGCAGAGCCCCAGGGGACCAGGGCAGGCAACATAGCCTTTCCTCACCAGCCTTCAGTCTCTGCCAGGGCACAGAAACCCACTGTCCCCTGCCTGCCCACCTCAGCAGGCCTGCCCAAGCAGCCACAGCATCAGCTCCCAGTGTCCTCTGGCTGCCCCTCCCTGTCTTCTCAATGTAACTACCTTGACACTGAGTCCAGCAGCTCGGATGAATTCTTCTGCCACTGCCACAGGCCCTACTGTGAAATCTGCTTCCAGAGTTCCTCTGACTCTAGTGACAGTGGCACCTCAGATACTGACCCAGAACCTGCTGCAGGAATGGCCTCCTGGGAAAAGCTCTGGGCCCACTCCAGCCCCATCGTGAACTTCAAAGATGACTTGAGACCCACACTGGTGTGAAAAGCAGCAGAGTTGGCCTTGCCAAAAAGGTCAGTCCAGGTTGAACTGAAGCAAGGCCTTCTAGAAAGAAAAGCAAGGACCTGGCCACTGGGGAGCACTCAGGGCCCTGCATTCGGCCGGCCCTGACCACGTTTCAGCTGTACGCACTGTAACTCCGAGTACTTCTCAAGCTCTAAGAAGAGGGATATTGCTTGTCTCACTACTACCTCATAGCATTACTGTCCACATCTACAGCTGAGTGACTATAATAATTACTCCTTGAATAAAAGGTGCTAAATGAGCACATAGAGTTTGCTTTCTTGGTCAGGCTGCATCCTCTAAGACTCTTCATGTATACTAGTGGATGGCTGGATGTACAGAAAGATGGAGAGATGCAAAGGGATTTCTGCAGAACCTAAGTTGTAGACTGCAACCCATGAAGGTGACCCTTTGGTGGGCAGACCTATGAGGAACTTAAATCTCTTACATGCTTGGTCTTCCACTTCTGAAAAGGGTGGTCTTCTTTCTACTGAAGTTAATCAGTGTCATGCCTGTGTTCTGGCTTCTCGCCAGCCCCCCTCTTCCCACCCACCTCTCTAGTCTTCCTGTATCCCTCCTTATGGCATCTCACCACTGCCCCCAAGGCAGTCAGTTCTGCTGTGCCACAACCTATGTATATCTCTCCCCTGTGCGCTCTGTCTCCTGGCCGTGTGGCCCATCTCCGGTCTGCCAGTGGGGCAGTGTCATGCTGGGAGAAGCACACTCCAGCAGTTTCTATTGGGGTAGGAAGGGCCTGCTGGTCATGAGGTGCTTTTAGTGCCACCAGGGTCATGTGACCACCGAGGACACACACAAACCTGGAGACAAAATGGAGAAATAAGCAAAAGGAGTGATAAGAGGGCAAGAGAGAAAGTGGATTGTGAACATTTCACTTGAGTTGGCTTGTACTTGGCAAGATCCAAAGTCAGTAATTCTTAGGACAACCCTGTGAAGAAGACACTCATTTTTGAAAAAAAAAAGAGTCTTCAGCATAGTGGCTAAGGTCACTTCTCCAGTATCACACTGCAGTTTGCGCAGTGCTGCTGGGATGCCTGGCTAGTGCATTTCCTGGAGGGGGAGAGGGTCTCTTCATTCTTCCAGAGAGGCAGGTGGGCTCAGCAGGGTGGTGGGAAAGCAAAGGTGGTGTGAGGCAACTGAGATGCTCACCCTGCAGCCCAGGTTGACAAAATTGGGCTCCTGGCCTCCACTTCCTCCCCACACCTCCAAAGAGGTCTAGGGAGCTACTAAAGATGAGTGGCACTCATCTGTGACCAAGGCCATGGGAAGAGCAAACTGGGCTCATTTTACTTATTGCTGGGTTTATTGTCATTTACCCAACCACCACCATGAGTGCATCCATTTTTATGAAGGAGTTGGGTCCTGGGAGGAGGGCATTCAGCACTAAATTTTTCGCAGATTTATCAGCCTCTCAAGTCTGCTAACATCTTGTGACCCTCCAGATGCTGAACCAGGAGGGCATCCTGGTAGCACAGCTTCTTCTGTCTACTTTCAAATCAAGATTTTATAATTTATTCCATGTGTGGGTTTGTAGTGTCTGTGTGTGTTGTTTGTATGCTGTCCAAATGGTACCTTAATAAACGAGATCAACTTCTAAGGCAAATCTCTTGCAGAACAGTGGTCTTGGGCTGGGAGGAAGGACCTCAGGAAGGCAGAAGACAGACACACCAGGTCATGGCAGGGTGGAGGAAGGACCTCAGGAAGGCAGAACACAGACACACCAGGTCATGGCAGGGTTTCCCAGGCAGCTCTTCTGCCAAGCTTTCATGTGTAACAGATCTTCCTGTAGCCTCTAGGAGCAGCGACCTCTGCCAGAAACACTCTCACTAGTGGAAAGAAACCGCATTGGAGACCCCAGTGCCTACGGACCCATGGAGGCCTGTGGCTGGGCTTTCCCCTTTGGCTCCATCCCTCCAGATGCCACGGCAGCCTCTGCTTGTTGACATGGAACCTGGCAACTCTTCCTGGCCTCTCTCAGCTTTACCCCATCTCCATCTCCCATCGATAATTTCACTTCTCATTTTATTCACCCTTCAGGACCCAGGTGGACCACACATTCTTTGACCTTTCCTGAGCATTCCCAAATAAAATTGATCCCCTGGTGAAATTAGGGTGGGGTTTCTTGATTCATGCTCTGGACTTGGCTGTATAGAGACTTCACCTATCCATTCCACCTAGGATGACTTTGGAAGCTGTGGTAGGCCTGGCTGGAAAGGCAGACAGTCTACCCCAAATACTCCTGACTTGTCATTTGGTCCAGAAGCAGTGTGCCAAGTACCATGACTGCCCATCCCCCAACCTGTTGTTGACTCTAGTCCACTTCCTCTTCTCCTTGCCAACTCCTTTCCTAAAGTTTTCAATTCTGAAAGGGGTGAGTGTGCCATGACTTTTGGCATGCTCTTGGCTGTGCTTTTGAAGAAGGGGCAGTACATTGTGCAAAGGAATCCTGGAGAAGTAAACATCGCCTCTGCTGCCGTCATCCCGGCTATGTCTCTGTGGGTCCTAAGGCGGAGTATGCAGCCAGGCTTGATCTGACTCCAGGATACATTCTGCAGTGACTGAAGATCTTAGGGTTGGAGGTGTCTACCCTGATAAAGTCTGTATCTCCTGGCCTCTCCCTGAACCTCTTTCCTTAAGGGATCATTTTGACTTTATGGAGTTCATAGAGGAGAGAAAAAGCATCAGATGGAGCTGACCAAATAGCTCAGTGGATTAAAGCACCTGCCAGCAGGCACAGGGGCTGGGGGTTCGATCCCCCAGCCTGCCGTGCCAGCCCACCCCCAGGAGCATGCTGAGACTGGCAATTGAGACTGGGCATGGTGGGGCGTGCCTGTAATCCCAGCTCTTGGGAGGCTGTAAACAGGCGGATCACTATGAGTCCAACCTAGTAGTGAGACCCTGAACACTCTTCCCTAAAATGCAAAAAAGAAGAAAAAGCATCAAATGTAGGAGGCATGTTTTTATCGTACCATATCACTTTGAAAATGATCAAGAGAAAAGCCAGTGTGCACACTCACGCATACTCTTCTGTGTGTTGTATCTAAATGTGTCTCCTTTTCAGATCCCACATTCCTAAAAGTAGGTTTGTCCCTCCTCTAAAGTACCCATCAACTTGTTTTGGGAGACAAATGGATGAAACAGGCAGGCAAGGAAACAAAAGGAGACAAAAACCTTGCTCTGGGGCAAAAGCAGAGCACCTCAACAGAGATAAATGGGGCCCTCTAGTTTCTCTAGCTTTTAATGAGTGAAAAATATGAAGAGTCACTGCCAGACCTAGAGGAAGCTGAATTCAGAAACTGGCAGTATTTCACATCTCTTTGGGAGAAGGTGAAGTAGGGTAATGGAGTTAATAGAAATGAAATAAGATATCTCTGCTGATAGAGGTCTTTTTATTTATTTATTTATTTTTGCAGAACTAGGGATTGAACTCAGGCCCTTGCCAGGGAAGCTCTTATTCCACTGAGCCATCTCCCCGGTCAGATAGAAGTCTTAAAGATACCTTCTGAATCACTGGCTTGTTCTTCGGTAGCAAGCAGTCTTAGTAGGAGGAAACTGATTCATCTTGGTCACTCTCACCTTCCTAAGCTCCTTCTCTGAAATTCACAGAGTTCTTCCTTCATCCCCTCAAGCTGCAGGGGCTCTCCCAGGATTGCCAGCGGGATTCTGTTACAGGAAGTTCTGACAAGTGCAGAGAGCAGGGAGCATTCACCTCCTTATATTCAGCTTTTGCTGTCCCCCACCTTTGGTACCTATCTGATGTCATTCCCTCCCCCTTCCCCTCTCTCCCTCTCCTCCTCCCACTCCATACCCCCATACACAATAGTCTTCATTTTTGCATCTCCAGCCAAACTGCCTTGGAATGATGGACTACCCTGGGATGTTTAGCTCACTGCTTAGGTCACAGAGAGCCAGGAAATACCAGCATCACAAGGCAAAAGAACATGTGTGCTTGGCAAATCTGGGTCAGGGTTTCTTGCACAGAACATGTGGCCTCAGAGAACAAGTGCTTGGGAGATGTCCTGGAGAGATCTGTAGGTGATTAAGAGAAAAGAAAACAAAGGGCGGGGAAGGAGAAAAGGAAGGAAAGAAGTCTAAAGAGCAGGGAGAAACAAGAGGGAGATGTGGAATAAGACAGTGCCAGGCTTGGTGAGTAGACAGCTCTTGGCAGTTGCTTCTGTGTGAATAAATGTGCTCCCATTTGGAGTTGAAAGAGAATAAAGCTCCGTCTGTGAAGAAAAGCAGAGATACTTTTGCTGAATTCTTTTTCTGGTGTGTGTAGTGTCACCGTGAGTTCATTTCTCCTTTCCCCTCTAAACTATGAGTGTGTCTACCCTGAATTGTTCTATAAGGAGATAGGTGTCCCCACATCCAGCCCTATGCTGGCACATAATGGAGCCTCTGTAAATGTCAAAAGGAAGAAATCAAGGAAAGAAGGGTGGCCTAGCCTGAGTCATCCTAAGGGGACTCAAAGAGGTGACTCACCTAAGGTTACCTGGGAGGCAGGGCCTATGTATCTCATCTGCTCACAAGAGGGACAGCGATGCTGCGATTCACCCAAGTCTAAATTCCCTATGATATCTGATCCCTTCATCAAAGGAAGCCATTTTAGACAGACTGTGTTCTCCATTAATTTTTGCCCAATAAATTTCTGTCCTCACTGCAGTGACTGGGCTCACTGCAGTGTCTAACATGTCTCTGTGGCTTTGAATAAGATACATAACCTCTTTATGACTCAGTTTCCCTGGCTATAAAGCTGTCTTCATGATGTTCTCAAGAAGACTAATTGAGTTAATAGGTAAACTCTCTTGGACTGTCCTTTACACATAGCAAGTATTATAATGTTGTTTGTTAAAAACAAGTAGATAGGACCAGCTAATAGGTAAATGGACTAAGCACCTGCTTAGGCAAGTGCAGGGACCAGTATTCAACCCCAGTACCACATGCCATGCTGGCCCCACACCCTAGCACACTGAGCTGTCACCAAGACTGGGCGTGGTGGTGCACTCCTATAATCCCAGTTGGGGAGATTGGAAACAGGAAGATCACTACGAGTCCAAGCTGTGTAGTAAGACCCTGTACCAAATACATAAAAAACAAGTAGATGAAATGCCCTAGAAAAGTGTTTAGAACAGACTCATATTTGGAAGTCCTCTTGATGTTTGCTTGCTTTCCCCCTGCATGTCCCATCCTTATCTTCAGTTT